TGAGCTACAAGTTCACAAAGTTTCATTAAAATCAGATTCAAATTTTTAAAACAAATTAAATGATAAAGACGAGTTAATCCAGGATGTTAAGTTTAATATTACAATAATTTCAATACAATGCTAAATGTTTTGACTCTCATTAGGTCATCCTTAGCAACATAAAAATATATAAATAAAAAAGATCGCAAATTACAAAAATATCGAATAACATGTTCAAATATAATTTTTAACGATTCCTATAATCAAAATTACAAAGAATCTATTTCTTTTGTCATTCCTTCAATATTCCTCCGCGTGTAGCGATAAAGACACCTCCTCTCAATATCTCCTCGCAATCAATCTCCTCGCATGATTAATTGTTAAAAATTAATAAAATATATAAAAAATATAAAAATTAAGTCGTATCGACCTGCCTTGGTGGATCAACGTTAATTAAAAAAAAAATCAAATTGTAAAAGTAGTCCTGAACAATTAGAATAAGATATAGATTAATAAAATAGTTGAATTGAAGTAGTAAAATAATTGAAAAAAAAAGTTTTAATCGTCATATCTATTCGTGCAATTAAAACAAATGCAAGGATTCTCATTAATCGTCGGTGATGTACATGTATATAATATGTCACAAAATTATGTTCTCAAATCGTCAATTAATAAAATTCTAACGCAAATTTTATCTTCGCGCGTTAGAATTTTACTAATTGACGATGAGAACATAATTTTATGGCATATACATTATATGTACACCATCGACGATTGATGAGAATCCTTGCATTTGTTTTAGTTGCACAAATAGGTATGACAATTCAAATTTTTTTTTTAATTAAATGCATGGAATACAATATCCCTCTAATATGGCATTCGAGGACTACCAAAAGATGTTCAACTCAGTGGAGACTTGGGCGATCCAGGAGGCAATGGACCTGGCGAGAATTGACTCAAGATACTCGATTATAAAATATATCTATAGACAAGCCACCCTCAAAATAAAAATCAACGATGACATGTGTACCGAAAAAATTCAGGTGAAGAGAAGAATTAGACAGGGTGACACGATTTCTCCAAAATTGTTCTCTGGCATTGGAATAATTTTCAAAGGGCTGTCTTGGGAGAGAAAAGGAATTGCGGTTGACGGAACATATCTGAACCATCTGCGCTTCACAGAAGACATTGCACTCTTCAGTAGCGATGCTGCAGAACTAGAAGAGATGTTAGCCAAATTGTGCATACAGACAGGTGGGCCTAAGTATGAATCTATAAAAAATCAAGATTATATTCACCAATAATATAAAATTGACTATTGATAAAGTAACCATTCACAATGTAGAGTATATATACTTGGGCCACACCATTAAACTGGGCAAGCAAAACCGGACAGCGGCAAGCAAAAACAGACAGCGGAGATTGTGACGAGGCAGGTCGGTTTGAGTTGGGCAGCATTTGGCAAGTTGAGATAGATCTCATCAGAAAAATTCCCCCCAAATTCCCATAAACCTTAAGCGAAAAGTATACAAGACATATATATTGCCGGTGACAATATATATGCCTTGTTGAAACTATGACGCTGACCTAGCGCAGTGCAAATTCACTTGATATGTCAAAGAGCAATGGAAAGATCAATGCTGGGGATCAGTCTTAGAGCGGAATCAGACTACGTATTGAAGAATAAGATTGAAGATTGAAAGATTGAAGTTTGACCAATCAGAACAAAAGAAGCCAAAATTTTTTTGTCTTCATTGTTGAAATTTCAATTTTTAATCTTTAATCTCAATCTTCAATGCATAGTCTGATTCCGGCCTTAAAGACAAAGTGAAGAAATGATATTATAAGATCGAAGACCGATGTCTCCGACATCGTCGGACAAGTGGCGGCGCTGAAGTGGAGATGGGCGGACCATGTGGCCAGGTGTAAGGATGAGAGGTAGAATAAACGTCTATTGTGTTGGAGACCGAGGGCGTCGACGAGGAGCGTGGGCCGGCCGCAGTCGCGCTGACACGACGACATTAGAAGGCACGAGAGATCAAATTGGATGCAGGTCGTACGGGAAAGGGAGACATGGAGAGAAATGGAAGAGGCCTATGTCCAGGAGTGGACTACGAAGGGCTGAGAAGAAAAACAGACGATTTGAGAGAACATACTTTTATGATATATATATATATATATATCATATATGAGAACATAATTTTGAGAGAGAGAGAGAGAGAGAGATATATATATATATATATATATAATATATATGTATACCACTGATGATTGATGAGAATCCTTGCAATCGTTTTAATTGCAGAAATAGGTATGATAATTAAAACTTTTTTTTCAATTATTTTACTACTTTAATTCAACTATTTTATTAATTTATATATTATTCTAATCGTTCAGGACTACTTTTACAATTTGATTTATTTTAAAAATTAACGTCGATCTACGACGCGTTGATGCAATTTAATTTTTATATTTTTTATATATTTTATTAATTGTTAACAATTGACCATGCGATTGCAGGGAGACATTTTTTTGGACAGAGGTATCCACTACACGCGGAGGAATATTGGAGAAATGACGAGAGAAATAGATTCTTCGTAATTTTGATTGTAGGAATCGTTAAAAATTATATTTGAACATGTTTGGTACTTTTGTAATTTGCGACCTTTTTTATTCATATCATTTTGATGTTACCGAGGATGACCTAATGAAGATCGAAACGTTTAGCATTGTATTGAAATTATTGTAATATTAAAATTCATTTATTAGCACTTAACATCCTGCATTGACTCGTAGCCTTTATCATTTAATTTACTTTTATTTATAATTTTATTGATGCATTTTAATTATTCATACATTTTGTGATTACATATTTTATATAAGTGCAACTTTCTAAATGTATCACAGTATATGAAATTATAAATTGAATGTTAATTCTAACATAAATAATAGATTCGTCTAAAATAAACCTTTTGCAGTTATAATTGCATTCAAATTATACTTATTTGATACATATATGAATCTATGAATTTTCTTTATTATACAGAATACGCATTGAATCGTCACTTTAGAAAATATTATGAATGTGAATTGATTTGTTTATACAAAATCTTATATATTTTTTAACTTTTTAATGCTGTTGACATATGTACTCATGGTAAAAAACAAGTTAATAACTTACATTTTTCATCTCCATTATATGTTTGTTGTCCGTTAAAATATCTTGACTGATGAATTTGAGATTTTTAAATATTTTAATGTGCTTCGATATTGAAAGATCCTTGGATTTGAGAGTTCTGCCCAAAAGAACCTTCTTTCAAAGGCAATCACCAGCTCTAGTGTTTTATATATAATTATAATAATATTACATAAAAATGTATATAATTGTGTAAATGGACATATTTTATATATATAATTGTGTATAATTATATGTATTTCTCTATTTATATATATTTATAATTATATACACACATAAATATATATATAAAATTTAAAATTATTATATAAAATTATATATAATTATACACAGAATATAAAGGAATAATTCCAAATTTTAACTCTGTCCAATTTTACAACACATCGCAAATTTTGTCTCAAATTATATGGATATGATTATACCTGTTTCTCTTTTAAGTTTGAAAATAATAAATGTAGAAAAATAAGTATCCAATTGAATCTAATTGAAACTAATTATTGAATCCAATTGAAAAAAAAAGTTTTCGCTATTTAAAAGTACATTCCTCGATAAAAAATTGTTCATGAATGTTATGCGACTTGCGGTTTACCCGCAATCGTTACCGAATAGTTTGCTGACTTTCCGCGCTGAGGATTATTCCGCTACGTATTCCTGGCGACTTAATCTCACCGGGACTCACGATTTCGCTGAACGAAGAAAGTGGACAGTGACTTATAGGTTAAAACAAAATACGAGAGAGGAGGAAATGCGTGATATGTTTATGTATATATGTAGTACATTGCGCTTGAAGTCGCTATTTAAACGAGGAATTTGTTCATCTGCGCTATTGCATTTTCTAAGTTTTTACACTAAAAATAAAAAATACTGAAGTACTCGAATACTGGAATAAAAAGTAGAACATCCGCAGAATGGAGCAAATGAAACAAAATAAACAGGTCAACGAGAATGGTCTGAAATTTTATCTATCCGAATGCGTAAATAGCGGCGGTAAAAAATTTGTCATGCATGAATATGTATATAAACATACATAACACGCATAAATGTTCATAAACATATATAATTATATATGAAATATGTCTATATATGTTCATACATTCATGTTCAGCTTCTCTCTTTCTCTCTCTCTCTCTCTCTCTCTTCTTTTATAAACTTACTTTTTAGTGTAATAGAAATATTAATAGTAATGTGAAAATATTAAAAATAATAAAAAGGTAATTTTTGCATTATTTGTTTTAGAAAAAATCAAATTTGAAGAAATGTAGAAAAATTATACTTATGTATAGACTTATATATAAAATTATGCATAATTATGTATGAGCAATTTTTTTTACATTTTATCAAATTTGTTTTTTTTTTCTAAAATGAACAATGCAAAAATTATATAAACTATTTTTTATGTTTTCACATTATTATTCTATTATATATATATATATATACATTAAAAAGTAATTTTACAAAAAAAAGAAAGATTGTAAGAACATGTATGGAAATATTTCATATAAAATTATATATGTTTATAAATATTTATATATGTTTATGTATATTTATATATAATTATATATATTCCTGTATGACAAATTTTTTACCGGGCCGCTATTTCGGATAGATAAAATTTCAGTCCATTCTCGTTTACCTATTTATTTTGCTTCATTTGTACTATTCTGCGGATGTTTTTATTCCAGTATTCGAGTACTTGAGTATATTTTGTTTTTAGTGTAAAAACTTAGAAAGTGCAATAGCGCAGATGAACAAATTCCTCGTTTAAATAGCGACTTCAAGCGGAATGTACTACATACATACATACATATATATATCACGCATATTCCTCCTCTCTCGCATTCTGTTCTAACCTATAAGTCGCTGTCCACTTTCTTCTGCTTTCTTCGCTCAGCGAAATCGTGAGTTCCGGTGAGGTTAAGTCGCCAGGAATACGTAGCGGAATAGTCCTCAGCGCGGAATAAGCCAGCAACTATTCGGTAACGATTGCGGATAAATCGCAAGTTGCATAAACAAACGTAAATTTGCATATTTCTTCTTTAATATGACAACGAGAATATTGTGAATATCATTAACAAAACTTCCTCTCTTTTTTTCAGACCTTAAACTATAAGCTCATTTTTTTCAAAGTTATTGCACTTGTAACTTCTCAGTTGTTATTTAACAATCCTATAATTGTTGCGTTTCTTAAATATATTTGTTTTTTCTTGTTAATTGCAACTCAGTATAATCATATTAAATGTTTTAGTATAACAAAGTATTGGATTTACAGAATATCCTAGTGAACAATGAACATGGCAGCTAGTGCTGGTCTCACACGACAAGAGGTGTTGATGCTGGTAGCAAGATTAACATGTGTTGCAGCAATCGGCTTTTTCAGCATGAGATGGCTTATCAGTCAGCTTGATCCTACCAGAAGTACCAAACAAAGAGCTAAAAAGAAGGTTTGGCGTAATCTTATATAATTTCTCAATGAAATTTCAGAGTCGCAAATTATCTTCAATTTGTAGAACAGAATATTAACTGCAGATAATTTGTATCTTATGTATAAATTCTTTTAGGCTCGGGAGCAGTTACGTAAATTGGCAGAAAGCGACAGGTATGCAAGATCCTTTGACTTGGACCAACTGACGGACTATGAGATGATAATAGCTAATCATCTGATAGATCCAAGTGATATCAAAGTATCATGGAGCAGCATTGCCGGTCTAGATAGTGTTATTCAAGAACTCAAAGAGACAGTAATCCTGCCTATACAGAGGAAAGAATTATTTGAAGATTCACAACTGACTCAAGCACCCAAGGTACCAGATATGTGTGTTCTTTAGAGAGAAATTAATATTTTAGATAGAAGTACCTTGTGCTTGTCATTTCCAGGGAGTATTGCTATATGGTCCGCCAGGTTGCGGTAAAACCATGATGGCCAAGGCTACCGCTCGGGAGGCAAAAACACGCTTTATAAATCTAGACGTGAGCATCTTGACTGATAAGTGGTATGGGGAAAGTCAGAAGCTGGCCGCTGCTGTCTTCTCATTGGCAGTGAAATTGCAGCCCTGTATTATTTTCATTGATGAGATAGGTACATCAAGAATAGTTATTTTTAAGTATATGTATATTTAAATTTATTTTAGAAGCTTTTATTATCTCAAAAATTTTATTTTTTTATTATTTAAAAAAATTATATCTACTTAATTCTAATATAATTTGTGATATAGTTTATCATCGCAGATAATATTTTAATCGCATTAATACAATTTGATACAATCTATTTGCATAATAAATAAAATTTCTTATCTTAATATGTTTTTAATTTTAACAGATTCGTTTTTGAGATCGCGCAATTCACAGGATCATGAAGCCACGGCAATGATGAAGGCCCAATTTATGTCATTGTGGGATGGTTTGATAACTGATCCTGATTGTACTGTTATTATAATGGGAGCCACTAATAGGCCACAGGATTTAGATAAAGCGATTCTGCGTCGTATGCCAGCTACTTTCCATATTGGATTGCCGGTAAAGCTATTTATGCGATTTTAAATTTTACATAATTATTAATATATAATTATGATATATAATGCCAAAATATATATCGATTCCAGAATGAGCAACAGCGATTAAAAGTTTTGCAGTTGATACTGAAAAATGAGCCAACCGCAGACAATGTAGAACTTGCAACATTAACGAAGCATACAGAAGGCTTCTCTGGATCTGATTTACAAGAACTTTGTCGAAACGCGTCTATATATCGTATTAGAGATTATTTATGCACGCAGTATGTATATTTAAATATTTCATAGAAAAAAAATCGAATATAGCGAAATTTATGTCCAGAATTGTGTGAATTTCAAAATTTGAAGTCACATTGTATCAGTTTCTATAATGTTGTTCAATTTGTAGCGACGGACTTAAATATGAAAATAATACAGACGACGAGTACGATGAAGAATTTCACGATACCGTGCGTCCCATCACGATGGAGGATTTACTCAAATCATTCAGAAAGATGAGAACGTCGAAACTACACATGGGAACGCTCAGCACGAGACAGCTGGATCTAGATTAAGGAAAGAACTTTATTCTTTGTTAGTCGCTGTCTGTGACTGATTTCTTTTCGACAGTTCTTCGTGTGTTAGATAGATGTTACCACAACGATGAGTGATATTCCGCTTCGTCATGAAACTGCATATAATACTTCGATACTGTTGGAAGTGGTTTTCTTGTCGTGAACGTTTAAAAATTTTTATGAAAGTATTAAGATGTTGAAATAGCGAAAATAGATTCATCGAGCGAAGTGTTTATAATTCCATAGTAAAAGTTCATTGTAGGGGAAAATTTTATAATAAGATATAAAGGAATTTTCTTCTGGATACGTTGTACTTATGGTGACAACGAATGACAAGGATGTCATTTTATTGTATCAAAATTTTTATTTTTTCTTATTTAGTTCCTTTTATAGAAAATATAATTTGTTGTAAGTCTAATAGACAATGTCTATTAGATAAACGGTATTTTTGCTTCTTCAAAATTAAAAGAATAAATTTGAAATATAATTTCTTTTTATAATATATACTGTTAAAATATAAATATAATTAAAGCTAGTAGACATGCATGTCCAAAATTTGTGTATATGATAAAATGTATAACAGAATATTGTGCAAAAGTGAAAAAGAATAACTTTCAATTGTTAATTGTTAATAACGATATAAAAATGATATTAATTTGAAAAATTTGGGACAGCTTCAATTAACTATATTGAGGCTTAAACTACATGAGATTTTTACATATAATACGCTTTTACACGTGTTATTATATACATCATACCTTTTAAAAGGCACATACAAATATGCATTTTTGTCCATTTAGTTATATAACAAATTAATTGAATTTTTGAATCTTATTTTTAAGCATTTCTTTATGTAATTGGAATTGTAAAATGTAAGACCTTAATTTTGCGTATACCATTTAAATTATTACTTACGTTTGTAGTATTTAATTACATGAATACGTAAGTTAATATTATTTTACAAAAAAATTAGGAATTTTTTATAAATATATATTACACACAAATTATATTTAATGATAAAAATATCAAAAATTCTCTTACATATATAGTTTTATGATATAATAATACTTCATATATTTTTTTTACTTTGCCTTCCAGTTTCAAACTGAAATCAACAGTAACCTTTAACAAGCGAAATCTAAATTTTACAGTTAACTTCAGCACAATGCTTATATATTATTTAATTCCACACTTGTAAATATATGTAAAGAAAGATATATAAAATAGATCTAGCAATATAGATGTTGATAAGATATGAATATTTCAGACTTAACTCGATATCCACAATCCTAGTATATACTGCTACTTCAAGATAAGAACTAAATCTAAGGAAGATTATAAAAAAAATGTATGTACAGAGAGAAAAATACAGAAAAAATAAACAATATAAATCCAAGAAACATTCACATTTGCAAAAATGTAAAATCATCTAAAACTCTATCAGGTTGCGCACAATTAAGAGAAATGTAACGCATGTATTATGCTAAGAAATAAACTCTGTTTAAAGATAAAGTTTCAAGATCAATGTCCTAAATATTAAATTATATTTTCGAGAACTAAATCAAATATGCGCAGTTTAAAAAAAAAATATATATATATACATGTATAAATATTTTGTGTTACATTATCCAACACTAAAGATAGCGTTAGAAAATATGAAAAGGAAAAAGATATCATAAAAAGGGGCTGGAGGGAATCGTAGAAAGGCATTTAGAGGACAAAGCATCCGCGTTTTTTGAAAAAAAATGATACGAATATTTCTTTTCTTCGATCCTCAGAATTGGATAAACTAAGAAATCTGGTTCAGTCTCTCACATTTTCCGCATTAAAAATAAAAGCAAGGTATGGAAAATAAGAAAAAGGATAAAGATATTAGATGTATAGGAGATGTAACTGAAACAAGTCTTTCCTTTCATTTTTAGTTAAAGAAGAAAAAATGAAAGAAAAGATGGAAAGAAATGTTTTCCACAATCGTGCGAATTGTACGCTCTAGAAAGAGAGAGAAGAAAATCAATTTTTGTTCAGTCTCCGATCTGTTTCCAATGAAGATTAACTTTAATTTCAGTTGAATTTATTCTTCAATTTTTTTCTAAGACTTACGTTAGAACTAAAAAAAAGATGAAGGATAATTTCAACAGATTAACGTTAATCTATTTTGATGAAAATAGACATGAAGCTGCAACAGTTTAGGCGTTCACGCGCTGTAATTAGCTTCTAGAATTGAAAAGAGACAATGAATAAATTGAACCTTGATTAAGAGTTAATCGTGAGTTGTGGAACTGGGTCTAAATGAAAAACACACAAAATGAAGCTTCCTATGAAGTTAATCTATAGAGACAGATTTTAAGTATACTACCAATTTTTTATGGATAACAAAAAGGTAACAAATTTCATATAGAGTCACGGATGACTATAGATTTGCAGTGAGAATCTGATTGAATTTAGCTACAAAGTACCCAAGCCGAATGCATCTTGAAGGAAAAATCGGGCAAATAAACGATTCATTTTAAATAGAAACAAAGGGTGTGTTCCAAAATTCATTGTTAATACTGAAAATCTATAACGTAACATAAACTATAGTTTTTCAGTATTGACAGTAAATTTTGGAACACAACTATTTAGCATTACGTTCTGATAGAAAAAGACGAAAAAAACCGGATGGTATTGTGTCCCAAAAAGGGATGATTACCAATTTAAAAAAAAAAAGAATCTTATCATTTAGGTTTCTTTTGGATAAACGCGACCACATTAATAGCCATCAGTACTTTCCATTTAATGACACAAGTCGACATAAACATTATTATTCTATCTTTCTTGGTATTCAATAAGCAATAAAAACAGAACAACACTTGTATTGATTTGTATCACCACATATCACACACAAAGGGACATCACAGCGGGGCATGAAATGATATATGTGTGCTTTGAACCTTTAAATTCTCTATTATCTGGAAGATATTGAAGCCCATTGATTCGATATTCTTTTCTGATACTTTCTAAGTAAGAGATACAATTCGTAACAAAATGATCTTATTTTTTTAAGGATGTTATTAGCTATATTTTTTTTATGTACAGTGTATCAATTAAAAGTATTAGTCCAACAATCAGCCAAAATAAGTCAATATCGCATTAAATAAATTCTGATATTATTCCATGAAACTATAATTGCAAAAAATAAAACAAATAATTTGGATTATAATGGTTTTATTTCGAAATGATTAAATTTTGCCACAGGTCAATAATTTTTGAACGAATAAATATTCAAATAAATTTTTGCGCGAATATTTGTTTTATTAGTATACGAGTACAGTTTTATATACTCATAGTCAAGTTGTGTATGTACAAAACTTGATTTAATTCCCAACTGCTGATAAATTGAAATTTTTTATTCTTTCTATCGTATCTATACTCTTATAAGTGTAAATATAGATATTACCTCTTTATCTTATTCACTTTTTATCTTACTCTACTTTTAGAATTAGAAAAAAAATTAATTAAACCAAGATTAAAATTAATCTATATACAGGATGTCCCGTAAGTTTTTGTCAAGTGCTTTTGTATAAATAGAGCAGGCTAAACTGAATCGAAAAGTCCTCTACCATTTTGCAATTTTCGCAATGGTTAACGAGATACTAATTACTAAAAATAACTGAATATTGGTTTTCAATAATTTTTTATTCAAATACTATCAACTTTATAGAAAAACAGCGAGACATCAAAATTGTTTATTTTTGTCTCGCTTCTCATAAAATTTTGAGAATTTTTTCAGAATTTTTTAATATCATATTTTCTCATGTTGATAAAAATGAGTTGATAAAAAGAAAATGCAATACTAAATAGTTCATAAAAAATTCTGAAAAAATTCTTAGAGTTCTATGAGAAGAAAATAAATGATTTTTGTCTCTTGCAGTTTTCTATAAAATTAATAATATTTAAGTAAAAATTTATTGAAGACCAATATTCGGCAATTTTTAATAATTAATATCTTGTCAACTGTTACGAAAATTGGAAAATGGTAGAGTACTTTTCGACTCAGTTTAGTCCGCTCTATCTACACAAAAGCGGTCGGCAAAAACTTACAGGACACTCTGTATATTAGTAGAAATTAATCAGAATCAGAAAAAAATAAAAAATAAATTAAATCTAGATTAGAATTAATCTACAGTGACAAAAATGAATAAAAAACCCACCTGATTTCACTAATGATTTAAATCTTTACCTACTATAATCTTGGTTTAATTTATTTTTTATTTTTTCTAATTCTAAGAAGAGATAAACAGTTAAATCGAAATTAAAGTTCTAAAGTAAATTTTATTGTTAGTTGGTGGAACTAAGGCCTAAAAGGCCCGATTGAACTAACGTTACTTTGATCATAAGTAAGTTACGTAAAACTCTTTCTGTCTCTGTCTCTTTTTGGCTTTAAAACAGATAGAGTTTTAAATCTCACTTAAAATCAAAGTGACATTGGTGCAACTGGGTCTAAGTGTGACAAAGCCTGGATAAAGAACGCGAAGTCCGTTCGCGGCGGCAGGATGAGAAGAGTCATCTCGAGGAGTCCGAGGACGTACGAGCGACGCGTTCGGCTTCTCCTATGCCGTGTGATGCGTCTCTTGCTCCTCCTGTTCCTCCAACCCGATCCAGAAAGATCCCGCGATTCGTTCGCGATGACGCGATCGGAGTGTGCGCGCCGAAAGAGAAACGCGAGAATGGGCCGCGGCGGCGAGTCGCGAGCGAGAATACATACAACATATACACACATAAATACATACATATATATGCGTGTGTAACGTGCGTGCGTAGTGCGTGCATGCGTGCGGCTACGGGACGGAACGAAACGGAACGGAACGAAGAAGAGACTGTGGCCACCCGCGGGGGTCGAGAGGCGAGAAAACGGAGAAAAGACATACATACACATACGCACGCACACGCTGTCATGGCGTTAACGTTAACAACGCGTGTCGAGCGTACTACGTGCCGTCGGCGACGCTGCCGCGAAGCGAGGTGCCGGTAATACACCGCCGTTCCGCCGCGGAACAGCCCCCGGGTAACGTAACGCGAGAACGACGGCGATCAGATCAGTCGTCGTCGTCCATTCGCACGGGGGAGAGAAAGAGTGAGTGAGTGAGTGAGTAAAGGAAGGGGAAAAGGAGAGAGGGAGAGAGAGAGAAACAGTAAGAGAGTGAGTAGCGCGAGCGTTGTGTCAGCCGCTCGGCTTCAATCAGCTTCGATTCAGCGCAGAGTCTGTCGTCGTGCTCCCTCGATCTCTTTCATCTACAGAAAAGGTAACGTGCTCGTGAGATGGTACACGAGGTTGCGAGCGACCCTACGCTATCAAAGCTTCTATCTCCGTCGCTGCCGTCAATCGCGAGAAACGAACGCGCCGCCGCCGCTGCCGAGCGCGCGTGAGAGGAAGAGAGAGGACCGCTCCTCTCACTGCCTCTCTCTCTTTAGTAGAGTGCGAGCGCACTTAACCTAAAACCTAAAATCCTGCTTTGTCGTTTCTCTCGTTACCGTCTCTCTTGCGGTTTTTCGCGGATCCTCTGTCGTCATCCGGCCTGGCGAAGCGGCACGGCAAAGCGAATGCCGGAGGTACGACGCGACGTCTCGTCTCGCATCGCATCCTATCGTATCCCATCGCGTCCCATCGCATCGCATCGATCGGCTCGATCACCGAGGAGCCAGAGTCGCGGCGATTCGAGCATCGCCCTCGTCGCCGCTGCTTTATCGCGCGGTGCTAACCCATCATCCCTGTCGCGTACTCCTAACTTCAGTGACCGCGTTCGGCGTAAACGCGCGTGAATGTAGGCCGGTGATACTTCGGTGAACTCCCAAACGATCCACTCCGATACCTTCGTGATCTTTTATGCTTCCGTTCATTTACCGAGTCTTTCAACCTCCTTCCAAGTAAAAGTAGTACTCTCTCTCCCGTAAGATACTCTCTTTCTCTTATTCTTCTCCATTGGTTGTCGATTGGCAAAGTTAATAATGATGATTGTGATCTTTGTGATTTTT